AATTCTTGTAAATCATGTGGTAATTCAGTTTGTTGACTAAACTGGTGTAACTCTTCTCGAGACTAAAAAACTCCAATAGCAAATATCATCATTAGTCCACTTGTTTTACTAACCACTTTCAACTTAGCAAACTGCTTACTTATAGCCATATGTACCTGAACAACGTTTATTCCTTATAGTTTATACTAGTCATTGCTATAATAAATTGTATGGTCAGTAAGAAAAAATCTCATAAAATAGGCTCTAGTGTCTAGAGCCATTGCACCCCAAGTACTGCTTCATAGCCCATTAAAGGTAGCATAAAAAAATCAGCATGCTAAACTAGGCCTTGAACCTCCCAAGTTAATGCTTTATATACATCATGAGTTAATAATTTGTTACCATTAGCTACAATGACACTGATTCCAGCAATCTTCTGAGTGTTACATCCCGATTTCTTAATCAATAATTGATCAATGAAATTATAGGTACTTTCAGAGTTAACCAAGAACACTACTGATTGGTTCTTGATTCGACCATATAATCTCATGGTCGTATGATCTTCAACTCCAATTAAAGCATGTAAAAAGATGATATGCCTATTCTGTGATTCATAGTTTTCCTCTCTAATCTTCTTCAAATTGTCTACACAATCACAAAAATCCTCAGTATCATTATTATTGTCTTTCCTTTCTTCAGTAAACATCTAGTACAATCGAGCCTTAACACACCTGTGGCTTAGTGTAAACTTAATCCCACACCACATACAAAGTCCTTTCTTTCTCCTGTCATCTTTTTCCTCCCAAGTTGGTATTTTGATAACATTGGATTTTATTAAAGTTGACTCAGGTTTACTGGTTGTGGGTTTGTAGGTATTTATGGGATTGGTTGATTTAGTAGGCTGGTTGTAATTTAAGAAAGGGTTTTTTGGGGTTGGTAACAGTGGGGATAATGTAGTTTTAGAGGTATAAGGATTATTATGGGATATAGGAGGAGTTGTTATAGGATTCTTGTAAGGTATATAAGGTTTTTTGGGCACATTGTATATTAGGGACTCCATCTGTTTGGCTAACTGGTAAGCATGGCTTAAGGATTTAGGATAAAACATTCTAATAGGCTTAGAAATTTTAGGCTTCAAATTTTTCAAAAATATACTGAAAGCATTGTCAGCAAAAATGGAGAGTAAATTTAATAAACTCTCAAACTCCTCATAAAATTCATCAACAGTATTGTGTTGCTTCAACACCACTATTTCTAACATAGGATCAAAGAACTTAGTTTTTGCAAATCTAGTCTTCATATCAGTAACATAAGTGAGCTAGCTTGCCTCTTAAAGACTTCCTTGATTCTTCATGAACCTCTGATGCCATTGTAAAGCTCATCCCTCTAAATGCATCATCACAGCCTCACTTTCTCATTTTCTCGAGTTCGATCAGCTTTAAAAAATTGTTCGATCTTCAACAACCATTCTTTGAAATCGTCTCCATCAAATTTTAGGCATTCCAACTTAGAGTACTTGGTTGGTACCCTTGCAACTTCTCTGTTTTAGCGAAAAGGGGTCTATGAATAATAACCCCACTACCTTTCACATCACCTAGATAGATTTCTATTTCCTAGCTAATGGTGTTGTTGAATCTCCTATCTCAAATTTTTGAAGTGAGCTTTGCCTATTGTTCATGATCTTTTCAAACATGCCACACATTTCTTCTGCAAAGGAATCAATCTTATGATTAAGTTACTTGATAAAGGTGTCAAATTTGGCCTCTACCCTCACTAGCTCCTTTTGTATCTGGCCCATGTCTTTTTGCAACCTAGTTGTCGTACCCTCTGTCATTGCCAAGAACTGAGGCTCTGATACCAAGAATGATGCTGCTCAATCAAACCATTGTCAGCTCAACTCTTTTATGAAAACTCAAATTTTTAGTCGCTAAAATTTTAGAAATAGAGGTAAAGAGGGAAGGAAGAAGAGAGATAGGGAAAAATTCTAGAATATAGGAAATGGGTGTAAAATTGTATTTCCTCCTATAACCACCTCTTTTTGTAATAGTTCTGTAATCATTGTTACACCAATTGTCAATTTTTTAACAAAATAACTAACATGCTGACTCATATATACTAATTGTAAAAAATATATAATGACTAACATGGCCTTCTTTTTCAATTCAACTTGTAACATAGTGATGACTCTCTATTTTGATTTTAAAATTTATCTAAGTAGTCGATTCTTGGTTCTACACATTGCCACAATGTCCTAAGATGATTTTTGGACAATAATAGTAAGGATTTTGAGTTCAGATCTACGAAAATCTCACTAATCTAAGTTGAAAAAAAATTAAGGTTCAAAAGCTTCAAAAGGTATATTTTTAGTTTTTCGGCATGGCGGGAACAATTAACAATAATAAACAATGGCAACACTGATGAAAAATCATCAGATTTTTGGTTTGACCACCAAGATCTGATTCTTTGATGTTTTCGTTAAGTGCTTTTAGAGAGAAGTTGGAGAAATCAAAAGTAGAGAAAACGAAAGAGAAAATAAGGGATTTTTTTATTTTTAGGGGAATTATATGGCAATTGTAAAAAATACCCCATTTTGCCCTTTAAAAAGGTTGGATCCTAATTGTGAATAGTGTGACCTGCTCTTGTATCTATTGTTGACTTACCCATTTGTACTAAATTCCTTTTTTTTTTTATAAATAAATGGGATATTGTTCTTATGATGAAATTTTAAAGACCAGATTGATTTTTTTAGAAATTTTTAAGTGAGAGATTTTATTAAATGTATTTCACAATAAGAAAAAATTTTAAATAAAAATTTCAATTGACAATTACTTTCAAGTAAAGAAAACAAAAATAAAATTTAACTTTCCCATGAAATTCTTAAACGCAAATCTGAAGACAAAATTTTTAAAATCACAAATAGTTGATTTTATAAAAAATTTCTAAATGAAAAAATATTTCTAAATTTACTTAAATAGTGAAAGATTTGAATATATTTTCAATAAAATAAAAAACATAAAAAATAAAAATAAATAAATTAGAAATAAAACAAACTTTTTCATAAAACATATAACCTTTTTTACGATGAAGTCTCTTGAAGAAATCGAATAGAATTTTCTAATACTCTTAATGTGAAAGAAATTTTTAAAAATTTTTTCAAAAAATGGGAAAAATCTAAAATTCTTTTTAATACTTTAAATAATAAAATATCCTTTAATATAAGATTAATTGGTACCTTTTTGGATCGATGTTGTAGGATATAAATTTTTTTTCATGCATAATTGTAATGTCAAATCTAATTTTGTTTAGTAGATAAGAACTATTCTTTTTAAAAAATCTTAGATAAATTTTAAAAAAAATTTTTAAAATAAATTCAATTAAATGACTAATTATTTTAAATTAAAATGATTAATCATAATTTTATTATTTTGTGTCCGACGATCAAATTCTTGAACTCACAGTGTCATAACGTTGCAGGAAGTGTTTGCAATAAGATGCTGGTCTAAGGAAGAGGAGGTTGAATTACAAATAAATATTGCTCTCACATGTAGGCAGATACGGAAAGAGAGGTGTGATGCAATTTTTCATGATAATAAGGAGCTGGGGGTGGTTGCAGTAAGGAAGTTGAAGCCGAGTCAGTGTTGATGGCAGAAGCTTTGGCTACGAGAGAATGGGTTAATTTGGCAAGGGAATTAGGAGCATTAAAGGTTGTGTTAATGACAGACTCAAAGGAAGTGGGGACATTGGAAGATAAGACCAATAATAGAAGATATCCAGAAAAGAAGAGATTGGTTTGAAGGAATTCATTACTTGTGTAAGTAGGAAAGCCAATATGGCAGCAGACAGGGTGGCTAATACCAAATTGGGTGTTAGTAACCCATCCTTGCTGGTCTTCATCCTTGACAAAGATGGGCTACCAGCGTCCCCCAGCTATAGTTAGTTTTTCATTTTAGCTTGTTAGTCCTGACTTTGTACACTGATTCTACTCTCATTATGGTCTGATGGCGTTTTTTAACTTAAGGATAAGTATGTAATATGTGTGAGATGAAATACAATTTTCTTTTTTTTTTTGGCAATAAAATATATTTAAAGTTAAACCATCCACACACACAATGTGATTTGCATTTAAGATCAATGGTTGAGCGATACAATATCTTATTAATTATTTCATATATATTTAAATTAAATTAACTTTCATATTAAAATTATTATTTATTAATTTCTTTTATTTTTTATTTAATTTTATACATTATAATTTAAGAGAAATTAAATCATATTATTCTCTATTTATTGTATCATGAATCATTATTCACAAAATGTAAATTAAAAAAAAAAATTTGCTTTTTAACTTTCTCAACAAAATCTCAAGTCTTCAATCAGATACCAAAATATATATATATATATATATTTTAATTGAACTGTTCTTATCTTTTTATATCTTTATGATTATTCTAATTTTTTTTTGTTTAATAAAACTTCGAATAACCTATATTAATTTTTCAAAAAAATTTTTCTTGAAACACATATATTTGACATATATAATATAACGTGAATATAAAAGTCAAACAATCTAAAAATAAAAAAAAAAGAATATATCCATATTAAATACATATTTATTTTTGACATTTACTCATGAATCCATCCAAATAGCATAACAAATAAAAATATAATTTTAATTGATTCCATTCAAATCGAATATCAAAATTCATCATTTCTTAAATCTAGAGTTTTAGAACTTTTTACTTATCACTGATCCAATACCTATGCAATAGATGAGGTCTTTTTAACTTTACCATTCAAATCTAAAACGCTGATTTCATCGACGGTGTATGGAATTTTTTTTCTTTTTACTATTACGTGACAAAGAAAATTCAAAGTTCGCAAAAGATACCAGTTCGTTGTGAAATTTTCTTTTTTTTTTCCTTTTCAAGAAAATTACTGTAAAGCAGAAAATGTCAAGTCCTATTCTTTATAATACCATGCATATATAAAAAAAATAATTAATCAAGGACCCAGATGCCAAATTAATGCTTTTTTTAGAAGATAAAATTAAATTAGTAATGGACAAAGCGATGGATTAGATAGATTGTATTTGCAAACTAATAAAGCAATTTTAAAAAAATAGTAATAAAAAATGAAAGGCGATGAAAGGAGTCAAAAGTACTCTTTATCCAACGCCACCGCTACAGATCCCCGTGAGCGACACCGGGAATCTACGAAGAGCCCCAGCCGTTGATGTCTCTTCATCATTATCATCACCTGCAGCAGAAGGAGGAGGCAACACCCTCCCATCAGCAAACAACGTCCGTCCATTCATCGCTTCCTGATGCTCATCATGCGGCGTCCCCATCACCCCCTCAAGCTCCGCCGCGGCTCCGTAAAACGCTCCATCCCCAAACCTCCTCTCCACCTCCAGATACTCTCCAAGAGAAGCCGGCTTAGCGTCCCCGTCCCTGCATAGTTGCCACCACTTCCTTCGCCGCCGCCCAAGTCGCTCCACCCCGAAGGCAGCCGTTGTCAGAGCTCTCCTTTTCTTGTGTTTGGAACCCATCGAAGATGAGCCGGCGTTTGTGGGTTGCGTCTGGCGGTGGTGCTGGGAAGGAGCTCGAAAAGTAATAGCAGGAAAACTCACTCCCATTAAAGTACCCAATGTGGTGCTTCTATCATGGAAAAAGGAACCTGTCGACTTTATTTAAAAACAAAAAAACAAAAAGTAGAAAAAAATTGCATGACGGAGAGATTAAATTGAAAACAGATGAAAGTAAGGGAAAATAAAACTTACCTCAGTGTCAAGATCGGAGGAGGAAACGGAGGAGATGGTTGGGGAGGAGGGTGGGGGTAGCAAATCGGAGGCTGGATCTAGCATGTTTTAGTTATTATTATTTTTTGTGGTATGGGTATGGCTAAATGGAGTTTAAAAACAGCGGGAGAACAAAGGAGAGACGGTAATAGATAAAGTGTTGCTTTTAGTTTAGGATTGTGTTCGAAATCATTATTGTTGGCTTGCCTTTGTTGCCTTTGTCGCCTTTGTCCGCCAATTTTACGCCTTTTTCTCCTTTTTTTTTCTTATATTTTTATACTTTATATTTTTTTTATTTTTCCTAAATGATATAAATGAAGATCTATTAAGCTCTTTAAGAGTTGTTCATTAGCCGAGTTTGGATCGTAATCAATGTTTAATATTAATAATTTATATATTTATTCAAATTTCGTTTGATTTGATTTTTTGAATTTTAAAATTTTTTTAAATTTAATTTAAATTAAAAAAACAAATATCAAATTCGTCTATTAAATTTAATTTATATAATAAAAATTAAAAAAATATTTTTTTAAATATAAAATATAAAAATAAAAATTTACATATATATACTTATAGGATTATAATATTTTAGTTATATATATTTTATTCAGATCGAGTTGGGTCGGGTTCGAACTTTAATTTTTATTTTTAAAACTTGATCTAAAACTTAGACAAACCTAAAAATTATATCCAAATTCATTTAATAGAATTCGATCCTTGAACAAATCTAAACTTTTTGATAAATATATATTATTTATATATAGTTAATATTAGGAATAATTTTTAAATTATAGTAAAATTTTTAATATGATTTTTTACTTTAAAAATTGTGTGACATTTAAATTATATGTTAATTAATATAGTATTCACCCTTAATATGACTAGTTTCAAATAATAATATGTAGTAGATAAACAACATTTTAATTATCGTATTAATTAATATATTTATAATTTAAATATCACATTAAAAATTTTTAAATTTCAAATATCATATTAAATATGTTATTTTAATTTAAGGATTATTCATAATATTATTATGTATATTTATGAAAGCTCCACAAAACATTTAAATTTCATATTCAAGTTTTATAATAAATGAATTTTATCTAATTTTGTGTTGAATTATTATTATTATTATTTGAATATTATTATTATTATTATTTTGTACATGTGATACTAATTACGCAATGGGAGGTAATTTTCTTGCATTTCATAAAATTCATTCTTTCCATATCAAGATTGAAACTCGAAACTTTCAAGATGAAGACTTAAAGCTTTAGTGAGGAAAAATATGCACGTACATAGATATTTTTAGTTTGTTTGTTTCATTCACTAATAATTTCTTATATAAGACTTAATAGTTGATTTATGATAGTATTTTTTACTTATAATTTCATTAAAAAATAATAATAGTTTATTTAAAGTAAATGAACATTTTGAAATTTTATGAAATTCTTTTTTTTTTTTTTACTGCAAATTTTGTTAATTTTAAAGATGAAAAATCCTTTAGCCCCAAAAGACCATGAAAATTTATCATGTACCATAAACTTTATATGAAACATATTTTTCATATGAAATGAACTATATTTTTTTTTGTTCCAAAACAATTACGAGTAAACGCATGTCTCTGCTTTTTTCTTATTTAGTTGAATTTGTTTTGATGATTTAGCCCATTGTAGATTTTGATATATTCTTTAAAATATTTCATTATGCGTAATACAAATGTAATGGCACAAAGTTTAAAAAAATAAAAATGAAAGTTATAAATTTAGGAAATAACAATAAATTGAAATTTTGTTTTTTAGTTTGTATAAATGATTTGGCTCTACTTATTAACTCACTTTATACACATAGGCATGATATTCAAATTAAATAAATTCTTGAATTTTACTTAAAAATAAAAAATTATTATTATCTACTGTTACCTGAAATTAAATTATAAATTCTTAATATTTTTTGAAATTATAACCATTAAATTTGAAAATAAAAAAAAATTTGAGTCCAATAATGAAGCTAACAAGGACTAATCCATATATGTTCTCTTTGCTTTGTTGGTAGTAAAAAAAAATATTTTTTAGACAATAATATCCTAAGGTCATGTTTGATGTATAAGATGAAGGATAAGATAGGATGATAATTAAATTATATCATATTTGACTTTTATCTAAAAAAAGAATAAGATTGTAAAGAGGATTAATCATTAAAGGATAAGATTGAAAGGAGGATTAATCATTCTCTTAATATAGAATGATTCAATCCTCTCAAAGTAGAAAGAATTATTTTTAATCCATAGGATTAACTTATATATCCTATTATATCTTTAAAAATTACATCAATAATTTAACTTGTATAACTTTTAAAGAAAGATAATTTTGACAAATAAATAAAATTATTGTATCATAATCCTTGCACATATCAAATACAAAATATGATAACATTATTTAATTTAATGTTATTTATAATATAATTTTATCTTATCTTATCATAATTATCATAACGTTTAGATCCGAGGATCTATCACTAGACATTGACTTTAGGGATGCCACAATTTTTTTTTCTAGTGCGATTGGTTCCCTAAGGAATCTGCTCTTCAAGGAAACTAAATAAGGTATTGAAAGAAGAAAACAGTTTATGCAACAGGGTTGATTCGTTAGTGTAGAAGGTTATAACCTTACAGTATCAAAAGATTGACTGGTGTTATAATGAGATTTAGAAATTGAAAGTAATTTTATTGGAAATATTTCTCATTGCATTTACTTTTAGCAGAAAATTGAGAAAATTTTTCAAAGGATGCTTAGAAAACTACTTAGTATTATAGTCAGTGTTAATAAAGAAAATAAAAAAAATAAACTGAAGAAAGGAAGAGATGATTGTTCTTGTGTAGGGAAAATTGATACTTTCAACTTTTCTCCAAAAATATTTTTTTGGAAATTTACTTTTAAGGAAAATTGATACTTTCAACTTTTCCCTAAAAATATTTTTTTGAAATTTATTTTTAAGAAAAATTGATATTTTCAACTTTTTCCCAAAAATATTTTTTGGAAATTTATTTCTAAGGAAAATTGATACTTTCAACTTTTCCCTAAAAATATTTTTTTGAAATTTATTTTTAAGGAAAATTGATACTTTCAACTTTTCCCCAAAAAATATTTTTTGGAAATTTATTTCTAAAGAAAATTGATACTTTCAACTTTTCCTCAAAAATATTTTTTTGATTTTTATTTAAAGAATATAAAACAAAATAAAAGTAAATAAAGAAGAAAAAAAATAAAAAAAAGTAAAACAAAAATAAAAATAAGATAAAGATAAAAATATTAAATAAATCTAATCTAATAAATAAAAAAAATAGAAAAAAACAAATAAACAAATAAATGAAAATAAAAAAAAAGAAAAAAAAACCTGGAGCGCTCGGATCGCGGCTCGGCTCAGCTCGACTCAAGGAAGAGAAAACGGCTCAAAGGGCGGCTTGGGAAGCTCGGCTCGGCTCGGCTTGGCTCAGAGGGGGGCAGGCACGCGCGGGTCAGAAGCGGGTCGACGCTCGGGTCGGGTCGGATTTCGACAAAACGCGCGGATCCTGTGGTTACTTAAGGCCAAAACGACGTCGTTTTGAGAGGATATAAAAGACACTTCCCTCTGTTTTTCGGCAAAACGCTCCTCCCCTCTCTCTCTCTTTTTCCTTTTTCCTCTCCCTTCTCTTTAAAGGGCCTGAAGAACACCGGTGAAATTTTCGTCGGATTTTGGAAAAAGTCATCGAAATTTGGAAAATTTGCCGGAGGTTCGCCGGAAGTTTACCGAAAGATCACTGGTTTCTGGGATTGTTCGTCGGGAACTGAGCAGGTCGTCGGAAACTTCAAGGTTCACCGGAATTGTTGTCGAAAAATTCAAATATCGTCGAAATTTTCGTCGAAATTTGGAAATTTCCCAAAAATTTTTAGAAAATTTTTTCGCCAAAAATTTCTAAAAAATTATTTTCGATCCCTACAGCTATCCTAACTCTTCTCAACCTTCTTTAGCCTTCAAAAACTCTTCTATACACCTCAAATTCAGTAGCTTTGCTCACTATTTTCTTTTTGTGTCCTCTTCATCTGTTCCAGGAGGTGCCTTTTATAGGGGTTGATCAGGAGTTCCTGATCAATCCCAATTCCTCCTTGGACGGAGATTCAATCTTTGAATCCAATTCGACTCTTCTGATTGAATTCCCCTCCACAGTGGGATTCTTCAACTTTTAATCTTAGCCCTCCAAAATAAAAATCAAAATAAAAAAAATAATAGATAATTAGAAAAGATAAAACAAAAGATATTATAGTATAAAAAAATAAAAAAATAATATCTGATAATCGGGAAAAAATAAGATAAAATTGACAGATAATTTAAAAAATAATAATAACAAATAAAATAAGATAAACCCAAAAATATATTACAAAACAAAAAAAAAAAAAATAATAATATAATAATAAATATATAACTATATAAATAAAATACATATAAATCTAATCTAATAAATAAATAAATATATACATATATTAATACATAATAATAATAATAAATAAAATACATAAAATACAAAAGAAAGAGAAAAAATAATAATAATACAGGATAAAATTGAATTGGGCCTTACCCATTTGGGTCAAGCCCAATTGATCTGGGCCTGGACCCAATTGGGTGTCTACAGCTGCCCCTCTTTGCACATTTTCTGTGAAACAGAAATTGCGTAAAGACGTAAATACCCAATCAAGACTCAACTCAACATTGTTATTTTTTGTTTTTTTGTTTTGTTTTTTTATTTTTTGTTTTTTGTTTTTTGTTTTTTT